AGCGCATATATAATCGCAAATTAAGAGTTGTTACACACATATTCTTAGCTCATATTTATGATTTCTTATTTGTGATTCAAGCATATAATCCATGCTTAGTAAATGTTTTGGTTATTGCTTTCGAAATTAAAGTGTAATCCTAGAGATATTATTTACTCGTATGATTCCACTTTAGAATTCTCTAGAATACAGGTGATAAAAAAACAGAGGAAAACAAAAAGTGGGACTCACATTTTTGACGTTTATGAAAGCTCTAGAGAGGAGAAAAGGACGCAAAAAGCCTAGATAAATTTGAGATTTCTTATTAACTGGTCGGTGTTATTGTTCAATAATCAATATTGCCGGCTTAATAGCAATGTTTATGGAGACAGGATACCCACATATATCTTCCAGCATCATCACTTATCTAGGTTAATGATGATTGAGGCTAATGTTACATTTTGGAGGTGCTTTTATTGGAAATATTTTTGGCTGTTAATGAAAGAAAAAAATTTTACGGCGTCAAAAGCATTCCCAAAGGGAGAATAAACACCACTGAAATTCAAATCATCAAAAAGAGGAAGAAGTAGAACAAAACAATGGTTATTTAACACTCCAATTCTAATCAATCTAAGTTTGTTGGTGATATATGAGCAGGAATCTTCAGATGGCATACGTTGACCTCTATCTCATTCACTGGCCCATTAGTGCGAAACCAAGTGACAAGAAACACCCAATACCTGAAGAGGATCTTCTACCAATGGACTACAAAGCTGTTTGGGAATCCATGGAAGAGTGCCAGAGGCTTGGCCTCACTAAGTCCATTGGTGTCAGCAACTTTTCTAGCAAGAAGCTTGAGACCATACTCTCCTTGGCTACCATCCCTCCTTCAGTCAATCAAGTGAGTTTTCTCAAATTTTCTTCTTTTTTACCACATTTTCTGTACAGATAATAATAGTCATTTGAATTTGATAATTTGTTTAGGTGGAGATGAACCTCGTATGGCAACAGAGGAAGCTCATAGAATATTGCAAGGCCAACAATATAATAATAACTGCCTATTCCCCTTTGGGAGCTAAAGGGGCCAGTTGGGGCACTAATCGAGTTTTGGAGGATGAAGCATTGAAACAGATTGCAAATGCCCATGGAAAGACTGTTGCTCAGGTTCCATTAAATAGTTTTCATTTATAATCGGAGCGAAGTTTTTTTTCTTTTTTTTCTTTTAACTAGTTAGTTCAATTGGTTAAATTTTTTAGGCTTGTTTAAGTACTCTTACTGCTATTGGAATTGTTCTCACCTGTACTAGAACGAGAAGAGGTCCTTTTTTTTTTAATAAAAAAAATGTATGTTAAGTGACATCTATAAATCTTTATCATCAATTATTGCTGTGTTGACGAGACTAAAATTTACTTGGGCAGGTTTGTCTTAGATGGATATTTGAGCAAGGCGCGACTTTTGTTGTCAAGAGCTTCAATAAGGAGAGGATGAAGGAGAACCTGGAGATCTTTAACTGGGCACTAAGTGGTGAGGACTATGACAAGATTAATCAAATACAACAGCATAGGTTGATATCTCAAGAGGATTTTGTTTCTCCTCATGGACCATTTAGGACCCTTGAAGATCTATGGGATGAGGAGTCTTAACCTTTTATATATCAAATTTCACTGCAAATGCCATGTAACTTTAGCAAACAGGCAGCAAGAAGATGAGACTGGATGGCTGGCAGGAAGTGTCAATAAGTTTCTCAGAGTGTTGGAGGATATCTCATATCTGGGAAGAGGAAATGTTCTAATTTTATTAAGTATTTCAAAATACATATGTATTATGTTGGTTTTATTGCAATTAAATAAAATTGAAGTTTTTAGTTTGTTTAGTTAATTCAATGGGAGTTTATCCTTACTTATTTTTCAATATAAACAAAGGGTGAATCTTAAAATGTTGAGACACAGATTTTTATTTAAAGTATATTACTCCTATTATACTAGAGAATCTTTGTTCTATAGCGGTTCTAAGGTTCGAACGCACCCTTAGGGTCTGCTTGGGAGTTTTTTTTTCACTGGTTTTGGGGGTTTTTAATTGGACTGGTTTTGAGGTGTTTAAAAACCCTCACTTACTAGATTTTTAATGGGCTAGTTTTGACTGGTTTAAAAACCCCCAAAAACCAGTGTAGTGTATTTTTGAGGGGTTTATAAAACACCTCAAATCGGAGTGTTTTGGCTGGTTTATAAATTTTATCTCAAAAAAACCCCTTTTCACTCCCTTTGCTACACACAAATCTCTTGCTGCTGTTGACTTCTCTCTAGCACACAAATCTCTTGTTGCTGCACACGAATCCCTTTGCTGCACAATAACTTCAACTTTGATATTTTTACTTATTTTTGATAGCTTATCAAATTGAGTTTCTTGTATGTAGTTGTTGAGAGCTGACACAACAACAACCAGAAACACAGCTACAAATATACGTGTCAAAAGTAGAGAAAAAAATTAATTAAGCAAAAGAGAGTGTTTGCTGTGTTGATTAAGCAAAATTAAGAGCTTCATGGAGGAGTTGGAGTAAAACAAATAACGTAGGCATTATCTATATCTATCAAAGTTAATTAAGCAAAAGAGAGAGTGTTTTAACTTTAGGGGTATTTATGTAAATTTATTATTTAAAAAAACTGTTAGAACCGTTGGAAAATAAACTCCTAAGTATAGGTTGGGTGTTTTAAAAACCGCTACTAAAAACCCCTCAAAACCGCTACGGTGGTTTACCCTCAAAACTGCTATGATGGTTTACCCTCATAACCGCTACCATAAAACTCCCAAGCAGATCCTTATGGAACCAATGAATTATTATATTCTGGAAGTTAGACCGTCATCATTTTGACTTTGTTTTCTAATAGGACATTGTCTTAAAGAGGATAAAATCTATCCTTCAATGGCGTTTAGATCATATAATATTTTATTATAGGAGGATGTTATATTAATGGAAAGATAGATCATCTTAAAGATTACTAGGAATGTTTAAAAGAATGTGTTTGGTTGGTTCGAATAAATTTGTAAATAATATATTTGGTTGGGAGGATAAATGGGTGGACATATTATATGGATTACTACATTACCTTTTTTTTTAAATATTAATATAATAGTATTTTTTATTATTATTTTTGAATCATTTTTTTACCCCTTACATTTGAAATTTTGCTAAAACACCTCAGCCATATAAAACTTTAATTTGTAGCAAACTCACCCTCCACCCACCCCAAGCCATTGCCGGCAGCCAGCCACCATTGTCAGTCGCCGTCGACGGTCGACGGAATGGCACACGATTGGCCGTATATGACCGACCGTGCGTCGGCAAAGCCATTTCTGGACATGGATCAGAAATTCATGGCCGTTTCACGACTAGATCTATGACCATTTCATGGCCAAAGATGTGGCTGTGAAACGACCACATATCTGCCCATGAAAAGGCCAGATTTTTGGTCATGAAACGACCATAAAAATGCCAGATCCATGGCTAGAAAAGGCCTTACCAGTGCACGATTGGCCATATCCTGTGGGTCATGCACCATTACAACGATTGACGTCGACGGCCGACTATGGTCTTGGGTGGCTGAAGGTATTTTGTTAAGTTTTAAACTTTTTTGTAATTAGGGTGTTTAAGCTAATTTCTCAAATATAGGGGGGTTGGGTAATTGTTAATTGGTAGACATTTGAGGGCAATTGTGTCCGAAATGATATTGAATTAAGAGAAACAATAGGTAAAAAAAAGATTACCCAGTAATGTTTTGATCCCGGTGGGGAGGGTATCGGATTACCCCCCACATTACCAACAATAAACACTATTTGCAATAAAAGATTCTCATAATATTTTATTGCTTGTAAACCAAACATCAGAATCTTACAAAATAAACGAAGATTACCCTCGTTATCTTATATACCCCCGATCCAAATGCACCATAAAGAAAATGTTTTGTAGAATGTCTTGACTTCATTTGATGTAAAATTGAGAGAATCAAATTCAAGTATACACTATTTATTAAATATTTCCAAGAGAAAATGGTTCAAGCAATAGGTATTGAATAAAGATAGGCCCAGAAACTTTCTCTCACAAACTTCACGTGACACTTGAGTTGGCAGCCCCCACAAGAACTGTCATAGAATGATTTTGACTAGAACTAAGAAAATGTCGTTTCTTCATAGGAAACAGCCATTATGAATGGAGGAACGATCGTTCCTTGGATGAGAAATGATCATTCCTTGGATGAGGAATAGTCGTTCGAGGAATGGTTGTTCCTTGGATGAGAAACGACCATTCCACCTGGAGGAACGACCATTCTATGATGGAATGACCATCTTTCCTAAGAAACGACCATTCCTTTCTCATGGAATGATCGTTCCTTATACGATGAACGGTCGTTCATTTTTAAGGAATGATCATTCCTTATACGATGAACGGTCGTTCATTTTTAAAGAATGATCATTTCTTATACAATCTCATGGAATAGTCGTTCCTTATATGATGAACGGTCGTTCATTTTTAAGGAATGATCATTTCTTATACGATGAACGGTCGTTCATCCCTAAAAAATGGTCATTCATGTCTAGTCAAAACCATAAGTTGACGTGATAATGTCAACTCAGTGCCATGTTAGGTTTATAAGAAAAAGTTTATGAGATTCGTTTATTAGCGTAGCATCACCCATAGCTATTTGGTAGTATTATCGTAAACATTTGGGCCATCTTTTGTATGGAGCACGGAACATCCCAGTGGTTGGGCAATGTGACGATATCAGAATGATGGACCAACTGATTAATCAATCCTCCTCCCATTGGGATTATCTTTTGTCTTTCTAATTAAGCTATTTTCTCTTTATTCATCTATTAAATAATTAAATTTTTTTTTCATATGATCCATCTGTATATAAATTACCCTAAACTTTAATATTAAATATTGAATTAGTTATTATTTATTGAGTATCCAAGATTTTCTCCACCTACGTATATTGTTTTTTTACGGCATTTGGTCAACAATATAGTTTCTTAGTTTTCTAAACGTCAACTATTTCATCAATCGTTTGTTCAGAGTTAGTATTCCCATAAATTGTTTCGACTTCTTCTTGAATTGTCATCTTCTTCTAAAGCCAATCTTTTATCAGCCCTTTGGTTTCGTCCCAGTTTTCATGGAGACAGCACCCTTCCAGTTTACCTGCAGCACCACTCCTCTTTGTCTTCCTCCCAATTTCATTCTCCCTGAGGACAAAAGACCGCACATATCTCAAGTTTCCACTTTGAACTCAATTCCCATCATCGACTTGAATGACCAAATTCATGCCAGTGAAAATGGTGATTTCCCCTCTCTATTAGTGGAGAAAATATCGCGAGCCTGTGAGGAATATGGCTTCTTCCAGATTATCAACCATGGAGTCCCCCAAGAATTATGTAATAAAATGATGACTGTCAGTACCCACTTCTTTGAATTGCCTTTTGAACAAAAAAAGCAATTCTTTACGACAGATTTTACCAAGCAGGTAAAGCTTTTCAACTACTACCTCAACACCCATGGCCAAGAGAAGGTTAATACGTGGAGTCAATCCTTCTCTCATCCAGGGCATCCCATAGAAGATTTGAGCCATCTTTTACCAGAAAATCCACCTCAGTATCGGTATTTAAATTAAATTTATTATAGTACTCTACCTTTCAGATCAGCTTATTAGTTCAAGCTCTAGAGTGGTGTATTGATTTGTTCATTGGATTGGTACAGAGAAGTGTTTGGTGAGTACGCGAAGGAGATTGGAGCACTAATGAATAGGCTTCTGAGCTTAATATCACAAAGTTTGGGGCTTGAGAAGGAATGCTTGCAAAAGAGGCTTGGTGAGAATCCTAGTCTTAAACTACAGGCAAATTACTATCCACCATGTCCTGAGCCAGAGTTGACCTTGGGACTGGGTTCTCACACAGACGTAGATGCACTCACAATTCTTTGCCAATCTGAAGGAGTTAGTGGTCTCCAAGTGATTAAAAATGGGAAATGGGTTGCTGTTGATCCTGTTCCTAATGCCTTTGTCATCAATCTGGGTGATCAAATCCAGGTGAGTCAGCTCTCGTCTTGAATTTGGTTGTTAGAAATTTCACTTCTCATAAAAAATAAAAATAAATCATTAGTTTATCTTAATCAATTGGGATAAGGTTAGCTTAAGCTTGTAACATGTTTATTCTTCTACGTTATATATTGCATCATTTCAATTGATTAGTTAAATACATTTGACCCAATTTAGCTTTTAACATAATTATTCTTGTACATTATATATTGTATCACATCAATTGATTAATTAAATACATATAATGAAATTGATTAATATAAAAAGATTTCTCTATTAATCGTAAAATAAAGATAGATGATGGTGATTTTGATTGTGAATATGAACCTCTGGAAAAGTTTTTTCAAGGTTGTGTCTCAAAGTTATGAAAAACAGCCAGACCACATTTAAAAGTCATGTTTTGCTTTTTTAAATGTACTAACTTGGTACAAGTACCATAAATTGGATTATGTTAATTCTCTGAATGTAGGTTTTGAGTAATGGAAGGTATAAGAGTGTACAGCATAGAGCTGTGACCAACAAAGTGAAAAGAATTTCATTGGCAATGTTTTATGGACCTAGCATGGACGCTGTGATTGGTCCAATTCAGGAGTTGGTTGATGAAGCACACCCTCCAGTTTACAGAAATTACCGATTTTCAGAGTTGAGAGAAGAATTCGACAGGCAACGAGGAACAAGGCGGATGGTGAAGGAAGTGTTTGAGCTGCCTAAAAAATGAAAAACTATGTACTACACTATAACTATTCACTTTGGTTTCTCTGTTTTCGATCTGGAAGCTAATAATGACTCCGTCAAAACTCACTGGAATTAATTGGTGTGGTCTTCTTATCTATGATTGGTGGATCTTCTAAAATACTGTTTTTCTTGATTTATTATATAATTTTCTATGTGTGATCGTCGGCAATCCTCATTTGTCTTCTGTTTAAATTTCATGCATTTTATTTTAGTGGTTGGGCATTTTAAAATGTTGGACCGACTTATCCCCACCCCATTGCGTTATCTTTTGTTTTCCTAAGCTATTCATCTATTAAATAATTCTTTGTTTGTTGTGATGTCCCATTCTTATATAAATTAGGCCGAAATACTACCCATCAAAAGTTTGGCCTACTAACAGGTTAGTACCCTCAGTTTTAAAAACCATCAACGTTACACCCGATTTTCAATTTCAATCGTTAAAATTATCGGTCAAAAGGTTTTTTTGTCATTTTATCTAGAAAATATAATGAAAACTAAAAACTAAAAAAACTCATTTTCTCTCTCCACATATATAAACCTTAACCAAAATCTCCATTTCTTACATTACAAAAAAAAAAAAAAAATCCTACAACCATCCACGAACTGCTGGTCATGACTAAGGCCAAGCCGGGTGGTTTACGGGTTTCCCCCCAAAATGAGGTTTATCTAAATCAGGTCTTCACTTCATCGGTGATTATAAGCCATGCACCTTCACTAGCAAAAGGCCAAATATAGGCCTTAGTTGTCGGCGAGAGACCAAGACAGATCTAGCCTGAATCATTGGCAAGAAACCAAGCCAGATCTAGCCTTAATCGCCGGCAAATGACCATGCCAAATTTGGTTGTATAAGAATTTTGAATTTTTTTTTTTTTAGCTCAAACCCAATTTTTTCTATCAAGCTCGAGCTCCTCAAACCACGGCTCGGCTCGATAAAACCCCTGTTTGCAGCTTGTCAAATGCCAAAATTCACTAACGGTGATTAACAAAGGATGGAACGTGGATCGTTTTTCAAACTGAGGTACTAGCTTGTAGATAGGCTAAAGTTTGGATGAGTACGTGTATTTGGGCCTATAAAACTACAATACACTTTAATATTATTTATTGATGGAAATTGTATATAAAGGCAACTCGATATTATAACAAGAGAGAATTAAAAAAAAAAAAAAATTGCTTAGATGTATACACTTTTTATATCCAAGATTTTCTGCACCTATGTGTATTGTTTTCTAAGTAAACGAGAGAGAATAGTTGGAATTACATAGCATTTCGTCAACTATTTCATCTATTATTTGTAAACAGGTTTTCAATTCCCATAAATTGTTTCAACTTCTTAAAGCCGATCTCTTATCAGCCCTTTGTTTCCTTTTAGTTTTCATGGAGACAGCACCCTTCCAGTTTACCTGCAACAGCAACACCACTCCCCTTTCTGTTCCAATTTCATTCTCCCTGATGACAAAAGACCGCACATATCTCAAGTTTCCACTTTGACCTCAATTCCCATCATCGACTTGAACGATCAAATTCATGCCAGTGAAAATGGTGATTTCCCCTCTTCATTGGTAGAGAAAATATCGCGAGCTTGTGAGGAATATGGCTTCTTCCAGATTATCAACCATGGAGTCCCCCAGGAATTATGCAATAGAATGATGACTGTCATTACCCACTTCTTTGAATTGCCTTTTGAAGAAAGAAAGCAATTCTTTACCACAAATTTTACCAAGCAGGTAAAACTTGTTAACTACTACCCCAACACCCAAGGCGAAGAGAAAGTTAATATGTGGAGTCAATCCTTCTCTCATCCATGGCATCCTACGGAAGATCTGAGCCATCTTTTACCAGAAAATCCACCACAGTATCGGTATTTAAAATAATTGTTCTTTACCTTTCAGTGCAGCTTATTATTTTTAAGTATAGAGAGTAGAGTTTGTGTTGTGTGGTACATTGATTTGTTCATTGGATTTGTACAGAGAGGTGTTTGGTGAGTACGCAAAGGAGATTGGTGCACTAATGAATAGGCTTCTGAGCTTAATATCCCAAGGGTTGGGGCTTGAAAAGGAATACTTGCAAAAGAGGCTTGGCGTCAAGCCTGGTCTTAAAGCACAAGCAAATTACTATCCACCATGTCCTGAGCCTGAGTTCACCTTGGGACTTGGTGCTCACACAGATTTTAAATGCAGTCACCATTCTTTGGCAATCTGAAGGAGTTAGTGGTCTCCAAGTGATTAAAGATGGGAAATGGGTGGCTGTTGATCCTGTTCCTAATGCATTTGTCGTCAATCTTGTTGGAGTTGTCGACTACTTCAGCACTAATGGGTAACGAAGACGCATTCGGGGGCGGGTTCCCCGCTCCCCGGTGAGCGGGCGGGGGTCACGGGGGCAGCGCTCGCAAGCTCGTAGGCGGTTTTGGGCTTTTCCATATATAACCGCTGTAGGATTTCTTTTAAGTTACTAATTCCTTATTGAGTTGAGCTTAGGAATAGGAATCCTTGTAAAACTAGGTTTTTAATCTCTTAAACCTAGTATATAAACATATTTTTCTCTTGTTATGGGTGTGATAGCAAATCATAGGGCAAGTCATTTATTGTAAACGAGAGAGGTGAAGTATATTGCAATAATATTGACTCAGCTAGACGTAGCCCATATTGGGTGAACCAGGGTAAATCGCATGCATTATTTTCTTTGTTTACTGTTTGATTTGTTTTACTATTATATTTTGTTCCTATTGTTGTCTCTATTTCGTTCAAATTTGGGTGATCAAATCCAAGTGAGCATCACTACTTGTATTGCGGACACCTAACTTGATAACCTAGCTATTAACTGTCATCTTGAATTTGGTTATTAGAAATTTCACGCATTAGGAGGACGTCCTTCTCATCTTACTCATATTGATAATGATTATCAATTCATAGTATAATTAGTCCATATATAATAATCTTGGTCAACTTCAATAATTGGGGGATAAGGTTAGCCTGTAAGTTGTAACATGATTATTCTTTTAAATTATTTTTCTCACGACATCAATTGATAATTAAACGCATTAAAGCGTGACAAAATAATGAATATCCCCTTGGTTTTAGAAATAACAAAAATCTCCTTACCGTTAACTTTTGATGTTAAAATAAATAGTAAGAGAAAAATTTAGTAATTGATACAATGTAAATTTTAATGACTCACTAACAATTCATTAACAAAATGAGATTTTGTTATTTCAAAAATTACAAGAAAATTTTTGTTTTTATATTATATCTTTGAGAGGATTATGTCTTTTAACTCTAATAGAAAAAGATTTCTTTAATATCAGTGCACATATGTACAATTATGCTTTTGATTAATTAAATGCATTAATAGGAAAAGGTTTCTCTATGATTGTATACATATATCCAATCAATTATTAAATAAACACATCAAATAATAGATGACGATTTATCATGTATACACATTCTCAAAGTTATGTTTCGTTTTCTTTCTTTTTTCTTATGTAAAGTGGTTGGAATTAGTTAAAAAACTTGGCGTAAGTAGGATATATTGGATGATTTTAATTCTGTGTATGTAGGTATTGAGTAATGGAAGGTATAAGAGTGTGCACCACCGAGCAGTGAACAACAAAGCGCAACGAAGAATGACATTGGCAATGTTTTATGGACCTAACAAGGACACTGTGATTGGTCCAATTGAGGAGTTGGTTGATGAAGCACACCCTCCATTATATAGAAACTACCGTCACGCAAGAGTTCAATAGGCAACAAGGAACAAGGCGGACAGTGAAGGAACTTTTTGAGCTGCCAAAGTAATGAAAAAATATGTATAACTGTCCACTTTGGTTTCTTTTCTAAATTAATTGATAAGGTTTCATTTACAAGGGGCTAATAGTGACCCCGCCAAACTCACTGGAGTTTGAGATTGTTTTTCTTGATTTATTATATCATTTTCCATGTACTATTTATACTTGATGCATTTTATTTCTATTTTTCTTTTGTTTGAAATATCAAATTTCTTTTCAAATGGAGTCGTGACAGGATCCATTATAACCACTAGGCATGAGTATGGCTAATGATTCTGCCCAGAACCAGCGGATAGAACCAGAACCGACCTTCACAGGGTCGTTTCCAATTCAAATTATTTGGAACTGCCATTGTGCAAGTCCAATTCCGCTTCTGCATTGAAATGACAAATTTCTTGTCAATTGAAGTCGTGACAGGATTCATTATAACCAGTAACCACAATTGACAATACCTCAATAAGTGAGAAAATGTTAACATCAGAGGTGACTCTAGTGGGGAATGCTATTGCTAATGCGCAAAACATAACCAAAGAAAGAGAGAAGATGTTGATAAAGTTACATAAAAGATAAGATTTAGTTGTAATTATTTATTAATAAAATGCATATGCAAAACAAATCATATTTTAAAAATTAAAATTTAATAAGTGTTTGGTAGAAAAACAAACATCCAAAATATGTAAACAAGGTTGAAATGGTAAATAATGAATGTAACGTTAACATTGGATTCACTCTTTTAAAGGCACTTAGAGATCCCATTATTTGGCTTGGTAGTGGAAGTCATGATCATGAGCAATGGCGGATCCAAGACAGGGCCTCCTCGGCTCCACCATTATTTGCCAATCAATTAACAAAAACTTTAAAAAAAAAACCACCAAATTAACCTTGAACAAAGGAAATAATACAATATCAAGAAGCTGAAAAAAAAAATGCAATAACACAATACTATTCTACTTGAATAAATCTATGAGAAACAAAACCTTGAGCAAATATATTGAAAATAATACCCAATTTATAAGGAAACACAAGAATACGTGAAAAAACATCTTCAATGTAAAGAGAGCAAAAACCCTAAATCTTGACCTAATTTGCTTCCAATTCAAATTCTTCTTTTACCAATTGATATTATTAATGTCTTATAAAAATTTGTGATAAAATTGGAAGGGAAGAAGCAAGGGCCGAATGGAAAAATAATTTGAATCATATGCACTTTTAAAGTAATGTTTTATATGATTAAATTCTTTAAAAAGTTAAATAGTAAATAATTCTACTTGCTCTTAACACTGGATTGTCATGGTTAAAGTTCCATTAATGATTCAAATTGAATTATAATCTTATTATTATTTTTTAATTATATCACATCGTTATCATTAATTAGATGATAGG